CCTGCTGTGAGGATGACTACCTCTCTGCCTGTCCTGGAAAATAATAATTGCAGTGGTCTACAGTGTTATTAGTGATGGGATGGCTTACAGCACTGAAGCACATGCTTTAATCCTGATTCTTAGTCTCTGTTCTAACCTCAAGCTGAATTTACAGCTGAAAAAAACAAGCTCTTTTAAACCACCCTAACGCTGCATATCGGATGAGAGTAGCTAGTAGCCTCTCAAAGCCAGAATACTAGCAAAGGGTGAAGCTTCTCGCTGTCACATCTAGCAGGAAAGCTGTTACTACTCTGGTTCAATGCCCTGTCCTGGTGGGAAAGTGTTGCCTTGCACTGCTTGAACAGAACTTGCCGTACCCTTCTGAAGGGCCTCTTAGGGTATAAACCCCCCCCATCTTAAAGTCTGTCTGCATAGTTGGCCTCAGAGCTTGAATGACGTGTTGTGTTCCTTGAGAGGAATATGCTGGAGTGCAGGTGTTGCTCAAGGGCAGAGAAGCCTCTTCCCCCTCAGTGCTGCAGATGGTGTTAGCAACAGCTACTTTCGGCCAGCTCCGTGGTGAAAGCTTTGGCATGTGGGAATGGTAGGCGATAGACTGCCCCAGACAGTACTCAAACCCGTGCTGATCTGGGTAGAGCTGGCGCCTTTGCTGTAGCTTTTTAGGTGCTAGTATAAGGCAAATTATAAGTGAAAATCTTGGATACTGCCAAGAGAAAGCGGTGTTTTGGATTGTTCCAAGAAAATCCCTGGAAAATTTTAATCAATGCCATTTATTGCCAGTGATCCGCTTGGTCCCTTCAGGATTTGTATGCTGACTTTCACATGCAGAGGTAGCTCGCTCCTGGATCAGTATACTTCACTTGAAGCCATGTGAGCCAAACACCTGTATGTGCCATGTTGGCTGTCAGGAGCCTAGGCCATATAAATAAAGGGTGTTTCTATAGATGAATTAGTCTGTAGTTCTCATGCCTTCTTTCTTCCCTCCATCAGTCTCTATAGATAGTTTTCATAGTGTGAGGGAATACTGCATGACTCCTTTTCCTTGCCTGATCTCCTTAAAGCAGGGAGTGAAGCAGTCATACTGTGTGGTGGTTTGGTTTTTTTTTCTTCCAACAGATACGCACTTTTTTTTTCTTATCCCCCTGAGAGCAAATGCCTTTCTGCTGGAAAATGTCTTGTTTATCAGCAAACGTGATGGAGGCCTATCCCTTAAATTACACCTGCGTAAACTGACTCTGAGAGTTCCTCCAAAAGCACACTCCTCCAGCTTTTCCAGGGTTTGAGATGAAAACATGAGTTCTCCCCTTTGAATATCTCTGCCTCCTCTACTTGCACAGTGATGTCTTGTCAGTCTGACTTGCTGTCATGAAGCCTCCGCTGATTTTGTATGGGGAAATGGTAATGCAACTCATCTAAACCGGTGAGCGTGAGGAAACCCACATTGTAGTGCAATATGGAAGTGTATTCTTGCTTGTTTAAACAAAGTATTTTCTGTTTCTTCTCTCTGCTTCTCCCCAATCCTATGCATCTGTTCGCATGTAAAAAAGCATTACTGTTTGCTCTCAAAAACATCTCAGCCAAATTGGCACTTTGGTGACACTGGATACCTAGACAAGTGATGCAGCTAAACCTACTTCTGGAGTGTGAACAGGAAAAAACTGCATGGTATGTCTGCAGAGCTTTAACACAAAGCCGTATGTCTCTAGGAGAAAGCAGTTTAGTTTGGGCAAGCTTAACAACTGTTCCATCTGTAATCAGAGATAAATCTGGCTGCTTGGATTGGGAATAAATTCTGGTCATAGGCTGGATTCAAGTTTTCCTGCTCATGGTCTGAATCCTGGCTGTTGCTTTGCTTTTTAGAAGGTCAGAGCTCAGGTTCTGAAAATGAAGAACAACAGTACACTGGATGTGTTAGGCTTGTTCATTAACAAGGTGCTCTTCAGCATATTAAAATGGGTTATGAAGTTGCTGTGCACACAGCTGCAGAACCCTTCTGATAATAATTTAAACCTTATAACAACAATATTCTGGAAACAAACTCCTTGCAGAGGGGTATTGAACTTAAAAGAGCTAGAGGAGAGTAACTGGAGACGTGACTCAGAAGGTCTGCATTTTTCTAAATGTTTCTGAAGACATCTAGCTTCTGCCATTTGTGGAGATCTTTGAGTTCTGAAGATAGAGTGGAATTGGTGCTTCTTGCCTTCTGCTGAGAACTGTAGGAAGGAGAAGGAAGAAAGAACCTTTAGCTTTGCTAAAGGATGCAAATCCAAGTCTGCCCAAATGTTAAATTATCTTGCTTTCCTTTGGGCCACCAGCACTTCACTGCTCTCTACAGCTTAAACAACTGAGCTAATCTTGCTGGACAGTTGCCAGACTGGCTTTTTGCTTAGGAAGATAGATAAAGCTTTCTGCACAGACTTGAGTGCTTTGTAAACAGATACAGAAGCTAACCTTGGATCTGGGACTGTTTCTTCCAAGAGAACAGTTCATCCTGTGGATGTGTTAAAATACCTCTCTGCATTTAAAAATACCTTGCCACAGTAAGGGAGCTATAAGATGTGGCAAGCATCCAGTTACTCCTCGCACTTTCCCTCCTATTCAAAGGATATGGGGAAGTACATGTCAGTTAGTGAGAGTTAATAAGACAAAAGTATGTCTTACCCCTTTACATTTTGCCTAATTAACGTCTGCTCCAAATAACAACCATTTCATCTGCCAGATGCCCGGCCCCCAAAGCCTTTTGACCTTTTGTGCACAAAGTAGCACAGTAACATGGTTTATTACTAATAATGAAGGACTTAACTGCTGTGAAACATCTGTGAGATGCCACTCATGATCCTCATTTTTAGAGTGTAACCTGAACCATAATTAGCTTTAGTGTGATATTGCACAGTTTCCCTTCCAGACTAGGAAAAGAGGCCACCTTCTTAAGGACTCTGCGAGAAGACAGACATATAGCCAGACTGTACGAACAGATGGTCTGATGTGGTACTTGACACCTTCTTGTGACACCCCTCTTTACCCCTGTGTACAGGAAGGCTGAAACTGAGCTGTATTATAGCCGAGTCCCTGAAGACTTGAGCAACAGAGGCAGGAGACAGCTTTCTGCTCTTGCTGAAAATGCCGTTTGCAGGAAACACTTCTATGCCCTCATTCTTGCTCTGGTTAGCTTAACTGTGATGACTTATGGGAAAACAAACCACAAAGTAAAATAATCCATCCTATAAAGCTTGGCTGTTAGCCTCAGGAAGAAGGTGGGAATCCTGTGACCTGCGTGAGAAGGCTTGGAAGGTGCTCGTGTCAATCGTGTAGTGTCTCTGTGAAGCTTGCAGTGTTTCTCTGTCCAGCCACAGTGCAAAGAAACACTATTCCAAGTATGATACCTTTATAAGCCAGAATGTTCCCAGGTCTTGAGTGGTACCAAACTGTGTGCCTTTAGGATTAGCTGCTGCATCTGAAATTCTTGGTTTTTCAGGGGTACTGAGGAGTCTGTCTCCAGGCAGCTCTGACCTACAGAGCAGAAACACTAGTTCGAGTGATGAACTCCGGCACAAAGTCATCAGATTTATGGCTAGGCAGCATGCTGTACTCCGACACCTATTTGAAAGATCTTGAGAGCAACTTGATGCAGTCCTTATCTAGTGCCTTTTTGGTTAGATGGGCAGAATACCAGTGGTACTGCTGGAACTGCAGAGGTGAGGCTTGGACCTGGTGTGGTAAGCATGCCCCATTAGAGTTAAGGGCTTTCTGCCCAATGCTACAGGGCCTGCAGACTTGCTGCAGAATACCATGCCGGGTTAGGAAGTAAAAATCTGGCCTTGTCCCCTCAACACCCGCCACTACCTCTCCTCTGCTGACACATTTCCAGGTAAGAGCAAGAAGAATTGCTTCTGATTTGAGCTTAGACTGTATTGCTCTTAAAATAGCCTCAACCTTGCAGTCTGATTCTCAATGATTAATATAGTGGAAAACACTGACCTCTTTGGAGGGTATAAACTTCTTCTTTGTGAGTACACCCACACATACTGTACTCTCCTTCCCCTTACTGGAGAAGGATGTCAGGAGCTGGTGTACATGTAACCACTTACCCGTCCCCAGAAGGGTAGGTTCAGCCTTAGAAGCTGATTCTCGCAGTTCTTGTCAAACTACAACTCAGCACTGTCTTGTTTGTGGATCAATGCAGAAATACTTTGCTTCCTCCTGAGAATAATAGGGATTCTGGAGTCTAACAGTGGCTTTTTTGTTTGTTTTTACACCTTGTAGAGGAAGACTGCTTTCTTGTCCTCCCTTCCATACTGTGTCCAGAGCATTCTCCCTTCTTTGCAGTCTGTATCCCCACTTTGGTCAGTCTTGCCTTAAAGTAGCTGCCCAAAGACAGGCGCAAGAGGAGGGGACATGCAGTGTCTCAGGTAGGTGTGGGGAAACAAAGGTGACTGGTAGCAAACAAAGTATGATTCTGATGTCTGGTAGAGAATGAAACTGAACAAACATAAAGGGGAAGCAAATTCCTTTTCTTCCCTTGTTCTCTGTCTGAAGAGAGGTTTGGTATTTGTCTGCAGCTGGGATTGGGTAATAGTCTTGTGCAGAGTGAGATTTCACTACACAGATGCTCGGTGAGATCTTCTAATAGGATACTATGCTGTCAGCAACAGATTAACTGATCTAGATGAACTGGAGGATGTAAAGGTGCTTTCTCTTTCTATGCAGAGCTGACCTGTAGAGGCCAGCAGCAGAGAACTCTATAGACAAAAAAATACCTGCTTTCAGAGCTTGCTGGGATGAGACAAGTAGTGCTATGAACGGGTCTGTGAAAGCCAAGTTAATGCAAGTTTCTGTAGTGTTCTTGGGAGTATTTACATCTAAACCATCTTAGTTTTCCAGCCACCACCAGCAAAAAAAAAACAAAAACAAAAAATAGAAGCCTCTTGTGTACTGAAGGCACAAAGGTAAGACTGTTCCAGAAACCAGCCGCAGTAGTTGTGTGTAATTGTTGTCCCCTCAACATGACTGTATCTGTGGTTGTGTCTGTCAGGGAAACAGATAGCAAAAAGCAATGGAATGCCTTGAAACACAAGGAGAAAGGTACAGCACTCTGAATTTTGGAAGCGAAACAGTGTGACTGTAGGAGTAGTACAGGCCTGGCTGTAAGGTCCCCAAGTTAGGCAGGGATATCTGGGGTTAAGTGCACCACTTTTTTTCTAAAGAGTAACATTTGTAAATGTCTCTTACTGTCATCTAATAGTTGTTGAATGAGAGCAATGTGCTTGCAACATCAGATGGTTTCAGGCTAACCTTTTCTGGCGATGAGCTTGCCTGTGCTTGGAAGACTTAGCTGAAGCACCTCTTCCACCACCTTCATGGACTACTGCTTAGACAGCAAAGCTATTGGGTTAAGCTCTATGCTTGCCAAGGCAGGATAGGTGAAAACTAACATTCAGTTTGCAGAAGCTGCAGTATTGACTAGCTGCACTTAACTCAGCAGGAGACTGCATGACCTTGACTTGACAGTAAGCCAATACCTACAGAATTTTAGACCCTATTTTAGCCTTCAAGGGTTGAATCCTGCATGCTTTCTCTGGTGTGTACTACTCCATTGGGGTAGGCTGCCATCCAGAAGACTGAACACCAAGCTCCTGAGGTTTTACTTTATTTTCCAAGCTGCTGTGTAAATCCAGAGTCTTGGAAAATCTCCTGGGAGAATGAAGGAGGGAGAAGATGACATCAGCTGGAAACTTCCCAACTCATTTTGCATCTTACACGGACACTTCAAGATTATAAAATTCAGCTGAATTTTAAACTTGGATGAATTGAAGTTCTTGATAGATTTAGTATCTGTTTCTGGGCAGGCTAACTAGTCAAGGTGTTTGGATTGCATAATACAACAAAAGAATGTGAAGCTGCTTCCTTACCAGATAGCAGCGTGCATAGTTGTTAGGGCTCATGCATTTCCAACACAGGCCGTTAGCTCCTACATGCCCTGCACTGTAGGAAACCAAACATGCTACCAGAGTCATCTAATGTCACGTACCCATAAATTTCAGTGTCTTGAGGAATCCTACAAGCTCCATAGCAATGCATGAAGAGTCTGCCTGTAGGTGGTTTTACAACTGTGCACAGAAGCCTAGTGCTTAACCATGATCATGAACCTGAATGTCTGAATGCTGTGAATGAATTTCTGCTGTTGTGATCCAGGTCTTGCTGGACCTTCACCTGACCTGCTTCAGCAGGTGACAAAGCTGTGAGGCCGTCCTGAGCAGGTGAGGGACAGAGGCTAAGAATCTTTGCTATTTACTTTAGAAAAAGCTTTGAAATGTGAGGAATTCTTCATGGACACTTGCTAAGAGTTGGAAGAACATCTTGATACAACCTGTCTGCCACTCCATCTGCCTGGCTGCCAGAAGCAGCCTCCTTTCCTCCCTACTGTGGGACTGCTCAGATTCATAGCAGGCTGACTGCACTGTGAGTAACAGGGGCTGTTAGACAAAAAGGCTGTTTTTTCTGTGAAGAGCTTTGTGAGCAGTAGGTACCTGCTGGCACTTGGACCGTGCTGACCTCTGATAATGCAGGTAGGTACTTAAAACAGTGCATGAGCAGCTACTTGGTGCGGTAAAGGTGAAGCTGATGCATGAGTCCCTGTCACTGAAGTTAGACTCCTTGTTATCTAAAACAATTAATACTAGTCAGCATTTCAAATGTTTGTGGGTATGATAACTACACTGACAGGTAGAAATGCAGAAGGCTACAGATCCCCTTTCCTGCTAGGCTCCTCAGGACATGCTCCTCTTTCTGTGCTAAAATCAGACTGGAACAGGTGATGCAGTCTTGCTTCCCCAACTGCAAAAAAATCCTCAAAGTCCCATGGACAAAAGCTAGTGCCAATTAACATGACGAGGAGGTTCTCTGCTGAAAGGATTACAGCCTGAGAGAACTTAGATTGCTAGGCCATCTGCTGTGACACTTCAAAGCCTACCTCTTTCTAGCAATAGCATAAGACTTCAGCAAACTGATCCTGCCTACTGTTAAACAAAGGTTCGTCAGTCACAAGCATTGTTCGTTTTGCAGTTAGCGGGGAGGCTCCACCCATTAAGAAGGACAAATACTTAGCTTCTGACTTGGCCTTCAACTACCAAAACCCAGGCAAGAAGCAGGGCATGATGCCAGCGGTAACTGCCAGGGCAGGGTTCTGCCATTGCAGATGAGGCAGTAGTATAGCACAGTAGTACTTTCAAGGTATGCATCCTCTGCCCTTTCCTCCCGCCACAGCTAGCAGCCCCCCTGCTCCTAACCAGAGTTGGTCTAGAAGCTTTACTTGATTGAGATCTGGGGTGTTTCATCCAAGGCTGAGATCAGGTAAAACTGTCACAGCCTTTATTTTAAGACCTGAGACATTCCACAGCACCCATGACTGCAAGAACACACTCTGTAGATTGAAGTGGATTCCAGCCTTCACAAACCTCTGCTGTGCTTAAAAAATGCAAGACATGCTAGCATGGTGGTGTTACCTCCCAACAGAATTGGTGAGGAAAGTCGCTAGCTTCATGCAGGTGGCTGCAAGCTCCATCTTTGGTCCTTCCTCCAGTTGTTCTGACACCTTGATGCACAGTTTTCATATTTTAAGCAGATTCCATCATATTCTTTAAGCTCTCTTTTGGAAGGGTTTTGTTACAAGCTTTTGAGATCTCCTGTGCAACCGGACTTAAACTGTTTCCACAAGTTAATTCATTCCATACTGGAAGCTTAGAATTTGACTGGCTGCAGTTCTGGCACAACTTGCCTTGCACTAATGCTTATTGCACATGGGATGTGAAGAGCAATCTTTTCCTTTTGGTAACAGGAACAGATTTGTCTACAGCTACTGCAGTGTCCCAGGGTTTGCTTTGCTCTTTACTCCACTCAGCCAAATCCTAGTTCAGTCTAGCTGAACTGCAGATTTTCTGAAGCCACCTCCTGTTGCTAATCTCAGCCCATCTTCTGCTTACTCTGTTTTTGTAACTCCAACTCTTTATCTGCTGAGTTATTGTAGCATTGCTTCTTCCTGTTGTACATGCTCCTGCTATGTTGAGTCTGAGCCAGATGCTTGTGTAGTTCAAGCTGTCTACCTCATGTATGGGCTGGCAAGCTGTGCCATGCTCATCCTGCTCCTTTTGCCCTCTTAAAAGAGCATTTGAGTGCCTACCTTCCTGCTCGCTTGCCAGTTAAATCTGAAATCTCTCATCTATTGGCAACCACTTCTGAGCATTAGCTGGGAGAATGCATCTCACCTCTCTGGTAGTAGACAATAGTTTATATCACCCCTTTCCTAAAATGTCTAGGCTGGAGCATTATTCTCCCTACTTCATATGGCAGTCCTCAAGGTGAAGAGCAATACTATCGCAGTTCTGCAGGACTGCAACAGGCAGAGGGTTGTCTGTAAAATCCCAGTACTCCCAAGATAGGTTTGTGACAAAGGCTGGTAGGAACTTAGTCCTGTTCTTAGCCACTGTCAAAGGCAGACCTTCCTCCTTAAGTGGTTTTAACTTGAAGCCCTTGCCTGTAATTCTGAACCCTTGAATGAAGGAGGACTTCTTTTGAAGACAGGGACTACTACCCTTGTCCAGCTGGAACATAAACCACAATTGCATAAGGAATAGAGATGAACAAAGAGGCTCTTACCCAAACAGGATTGCTTTGCTAAGATTACACATTTCATTTCGCCACTTAAAGACTGTGTGAAGCTGGGGCTAAGCAGTAATTCTAGAACTAAAGCACTTCTAGTTAATGTGCTGCTAAGCTGTAGTGATGTTTGTCTAGCAACCAGAGGAACCTTTGTCCTTACAAGGGAAATGCTCTGTAGATAAATCTATTCCTGTGATACTAGTTAAGCAAACAACCCCCCCCTCCTCTCTTCTCTGAAAAGAAGAGCTGTTGATCTTTGGGACTTTCTAATACTGCTGTCAGATGTTCCTAGATGCTGTACAACTTGCCACACGCTGTTAGCTCTCTCTGCTACATAACCAGAGCAGAGAACACATGTGATGTTGCTGTGGTATTTATGCAACGTGGAGTAACCACTAGCTGTATGGAGTAGTTGCTCTATGTCAAAGTCTGAGACTTGAAGGTGTAGGAATGTATCAAGTTGGCTATAAAGTTGGGTTTTTTTGGTTTCGTCTTCCTGCTGCCCATCCCTTCCCCCCTCTCCCCGCCCCAGCTGAGTCAGTTTCAAGGAATTACAGACTTCGCAAACCCTGGTGAGTCTCTTCCTAAAGTAGCAACTTGCTGGCTCTTCTAGCCTGTGTCTTCCATAGGCATGGGATGATGCTCTTGGAGTTAGGAGGATGGGAACGAGGACCTCCCCAAGCAAAACACAGTGTTTTCATTGGCCTTAGGACCCCCTGAGGAAGGTGTGCATGGACACTGGTGCTGGAGCATATGATCTGTGACTGTCCTGTAGTGCAGTGATGGCAATTCAGTCTATGCTGTCAACATGTTTGGAAGATAATGGACTGGATGGGAAGCCTCTGGTACAAGTTTGCCCCCTTCTTAGGAAGAGTCTGAAGAGGCGAAGGCTGACTACATTCCAGTCAAGTGAACTGTTGCCACTTTGCCTGAAGCCTGTCTTATAAGTAGGCCTCTTGATTTGCCTAGCTGTTTTGTTTTTAGAGTCTCAGGTGGTTTAGTCTCACCAGGAACTGTTGGTTCAGCAATACTTCTACTTCCTCATGAATAGAAACCAGGTTGTGCCATACTAAGGGGAGGTGTGGTGGTAATGTGCTTTCTCTACAACTTGTGGAACAGCAGAACAACCTAATGCTCAAAGCCCAGACCTTAGGGGATTGCCCAGGTGACCTGGAAAAGGGTCATCCTCAGAGCTGCTGAAATAAATAGCCCTTGTAATATATCAGTGAAGCTTATCAGTGGCATCTTTGAGAACACTGCTTTACCGTGAGTCTGTTCACTTATTAAAAACCTGCTGTTTTTTCCACTCCAATACAGGATCTCAGTCTACCCAATGGCACACCTGTGGACACTTCTAGCCCAGCCTCCTCCTCATCTCTCCTCAACAGACTGCAGCTGGATGATGACTTGGACGGGGAGACTAGAGACCTCTTCGTTACTGTTGATGATCCCAAAAAACACGTGTGCACGATGGAGACGTATATCACATACAGGGTTACAACAAAGGTACAAAGCAACGTTCGCCTCTCCTAGTACTTTTTTCTTAGGAGAGGTTTTTTTTTTTTAGGGCATGTTCTGGACCTCTGTGCCTTGCATTGTATTTTCTTATCTTAAGGACAAAGACTTAGTGTCTTTCGGTACCTTGTGAATGTGTTGAAGGTGTGACTTCTCTTAGCAGAACTGTTACTACTTCAGTATATGAAACTGTGCAAAACTTTTAATGTGTCAGCTTAGATTTTTGTCTCTGACTCTTAAATAAAACTCTTCGTAAACTTGCAAGGCCAGTTTCTTTCATTAACCTGAAAGTCTGTTCCTATAAAGTAATCTGACACCCATTTGGTTTGAGTTACCTACCCTGAAGCGGAATGTGCCTCCTTGTTGATTCACTGTTAATCATCTTACATTTTGTGTGTATCCTTTTCTGAAATGCTTTAAGCTTATTGCTTCAAGTGTTTACCACACTTCCCCTGTCAGCCACTTATCTAAATCATAATCTTGATCCTCAACTGTAAACTAGCTTCCACGCAGTTGTTGGTACGGAAGGCTGTATAGCTGCTGCTAAAAGTAAGTAGCCTAAGAATGTTACTGCCTACCAAAAGAAATATGCTAGAGATTTTTTCAGCATGTGTTGTAGTTCAAACATTAATGCAATCTAATTTCACTAATAGAAAAAGTAATCTGAAAAGTCCACTGCACCCATAACTGGAACATTGATTTCTGTTAACTAGCTCATTTTCATTAGCAGCAGCTCCTAGGTGATGTTGACATCTGTTTGGGGGCACTTGTAGTTACCTAAGGCAAAAAGTGTTCACTAACTTTGCTAGGAATATACTTGATCCGCTTGTCCAAAAAGATTGACATTCCTCTGGCCTACTTAGATGGCACTATATACTGGAGAGAGTATTTTCCTTTGAGATAAGGAAGCCTTTACAGGCCACATAATTTTTTTTCAGGTCTACTCTGAAGTTCCACTTTCAGGCTGCACAGGAGAAAATGGGGTTTCTTTAAAATAGTAGCTACCTCTTACTGCACGCTTATTATAGGCCTGTCATTCTTTGTTGCTCTAAGTGTCTTAATCTTGCAAGAAATGCTGTATGTTAACTGTTAGAAAATGCTAAGAAGTATTGTAGGAAACTTTTCTACTTGGAGCAACTTGGCCTTCAGCTGTTACACGATCAGAAGGGATAGGAAGCACAAAATGAGATGCAGCTCTCCACAGGCAAATGGCTAAAATTGGCTAAAATTGTTTCTCCTTTAAATTAAGACCTGATTATTCTGTCAAGATAAAGTATCTCTATGCAGTGGTACCGTAATAATGTTCCTCTGCTTGTAAACCTCTGTTCATACAAGGATTCCCTTCCTTCTTAAATGAGAACTGTGGAATGTGGGGTATTTACTGTATTTAGATCAAATGTATTACCCAACAGTGTATTTTTTTTTAAATTTAAAAAAAAAATCATCCTGTATTTCTGATTTTGCATATCTACCTACCTGTCTGTTAATACTTGTTTTATTTGGGATGTTACTGTAGCCCATAAATCTTCTATATCATAGCATTACAGTACTATTGTGAAACTGCATAACTTATTCTTAGCAATCACCATGAAAGCCTCAACTCTTCGGGTTTATTATTCTTAGAAACTTCTGGCTAACCTCTAGGATCAGCACCTGTAGCACTATCATTGTTTAAAAAAAGACTGGAAGACTAACAGTATTAATCATCTGACTCATTCTTGCCATGCAAACAAGGCCTCTTTGATGCCAAGCTTTTGATGCCCAATCAGCGATTGTAGCTGAAAGCAGTAATTAAACATGGCAAAAAAGCTGCACAGGAGTAATCCCTAGACAGTGATGAGGATGAGTGTTGATGCTTGCACCTCCAGGTTGTAGGTCAGAGTTCTACAGCAGATCTTGCTCCTGTCATCAGTGTAAGGCCATACCTTCCCACCACCTCCCTTGCAGCCTTGCATGAGAAGGGTTTGAGACCTGTACAGGGCTGAAAGGGTCGCTTTGGTGGCTCTGAATGAGGAGGCAAGGATGGCTGCTTTTTTTCTTTTTCCACTGAAGAATGCTTCTGGAACCTCAAAGGTTTAGGTAAACATAAGTCCTAGAATGAGTTATGCTGAAGACTTTCTTGCTGTGAAAAGCAGTGTCACTAGGTGGAAGAGGGGAATGTAATGAGTAGTGCTGTAATGTGCATTTGTGGTTGTGAGGGGACACCCCTGTAGGGAAGAGCATAACCTGACCACAGCCTTGGTTTTGTGTTGTGTGAGTTGATTTTCTTTCTTTAGAAAGGTCTTGCATCATAACAGCAAAAAGGAGAAGTCTTGCAGTATGCCCCAGACTGAGAACATCTGCTGATACCTTTGTCAGGAGGTGGTGGTGGCTCAGGAAGAGTCCAAAACAATGGCTTGCAGGGAAGCTGAGAAGAAAGCTTAGCGTTTACTTGGTCCTATGTGTGCCCCTGCTTTCACAGCTTTCTAGTAAGAGCCAGGTAGCATCCCCCAGCCTGTCTTCTGGATGAACACATTTAAAGAGTGTAACAGGAATCCCTGAAATTATGGGGACAGTGATTCAGACCTGGCTTTCTCTTTCATACTCTCTTTTCGTCTTGCTAATAGCAGTTTTCTTATACAGGGAGGTTAGTGAAACCGAAGAGTGGGTGAAAGTTGTGCAGGAACTTAACTGGTCTTGGCTGTGATGATTGAATTGTCTTGGGTGTTCTTGATTGTTCACAACCTTTGTGCTCTTCAGATAGTCTGATATGCACTCCAGAGAGATTTTATCAAGCAGATCTTTCTGAGGAGGGAGGGAAAATAAAGCTTACCCTTATGTTAGGTAGTAATCTCTCCCGAGTGAAACATTAAGTGTGTGTACTTCTAACTTCACTTTTGTTGTATTTTCTAGGATGGCAAAGCTGCCTTCAGTGCCTTTTCCCATGGAGGTCTGAATGGGTGTGTGCCATTCCTCAGTCACGCAGTTGCTCTGTAGGCTTGAAGGAAGAGGCTTTCAAACCAGTCAATACTGAAGTGGAGGTCTTGTGTTCTTTTTCCTTTCCTTTCCTTCTCCTCCTGCTTCCAGTGCATGCACTGGGTAGATTGCCTGAGCACATGAAATGACTTGATCCCTAGAGAGGAGCAGGTGTAAGTGCTATGATCTCTTTTTCAAACAGGCTAAACTATTTGAGGCAAATAGAACTATGAACTACTAAGAACACCAACCTTGCTCCCTTTCCCGCTCTGCCATTTTCCTCTTTTTCTAGTTGAAGATTTTGCCCCAAATTTAAATAGTAACATGGAAAGGAATCTGCAGTTGGGTGTAGTGGATGAGAAAGTAGAACTAGGGTACAAAAATACTTTTAACACAGTCACCACAGGCTAGCTTTAGTTTTGGCTGCTAACTCCTTTCAAGAAAGACAAGAATCTTACACAAGACCAAGACTCGGTGATTGTCTTAATATTGCCTCAAGTCAAAAGTATTCCCACAACAGAGGTAAAAGTGTCTGTAACTCTGCCTGCTTTCCAGCAAGTAAAACTGAGCCCAGAATACTGCAATGCTGACTTAGTGGAACTGTGCTGGAGTCTTCAATAAATCCCTGGAAATGTCTTGCCCATTATTTTTGGGAGGTTGAGATCTGCCACATAAGTTTCTCAGCTTCCTTTGGGAGAGACACGTGTCCTTGCAAGATGGGATTTATGGATCCTGCTAAAAAAGCAGGAGGAATTAATCTGTGTCAAAAACACCGACATTTCACTTGCTGTCCCTGGACAGTGGCAAGACCCTCTTCCCTTTTGTGTGCAATCTGGAAAAAATAACTCGTGCTAAGCTAATGAACAGTTTGATCTGAGATCCAAATTCTTTCAGCGTTAGTGAGGTGTTGTTGAAACCGTGAAGGGCCCTTTTGTCCAAATAGTCTTTGAAAAGCTTATTTGCTGTCTAGATTTGACAGCCCGTACAGCAAACACTGAAGTGCTGATGACTATGATGTATTTTCATCTGCCTTCCTCTGAGGAACAAAACCTGATACATGGAGAACTTTGCAAATCTGCTTGTGATGTAAAGGCAGTGGGAGCAGTTTGTTCAAGGTGGATGGTAACTAATGTAAAGTTTGTGCACTCGGACTTATCCTGCTTTCCTGCTTCTGGACTAAATAGCACCTATACAGTTTTCCTTAACTGTTAGCAGATACTGGATAATAAGGTTCTCAGCGCTAATGGATGGGAGACTTTACCTTCCTCCTCATGCTACGGGCTAAAGCCCTGTAGTGTGTATGCATCCTGATCACTCTCATTCACTCACTGTCTGATCTTTTTAAGAAGCCTTTTCCCAGTGACAGCCAGTTCACAAAAGCTCTCCCTACTACTAAATCATTACTTTATTTATTTTTAATTTTAGGTTGTCCTCTGAAAGGCTGAGGTATAGCTGCCCTATTAATGAAAGAAAGCAGTCAGCTGTCATCAGCCAGTGGCACTGTCTACATGTGCATGAATTATTTTGTTCTGGTGTAACACCAGTTTAGTCTCTTACTCAAACAAGTGAGTTCATACAAAGTCTCAGAAGTTTCATTTGTAGGGTGGCTCTCTAACATGTTAAATAAGCTGGGTGTTACTCTGAGGTGCAGCGGAGTAAAGCACAAGTCTGCAGTGGATATCTAGGTCTTGGTAGTCCCTCATCTACAAAGGCAACTGCTCCACTGGTGAGCATTCATTATGTGAGTCCATGGACTAATGTGTGTAACTCTTATCATAGCTAGTAGGTCAAAGGAGGGGGGTTGGTGAGCTTGATCTCTTCTTTTCTGTCTCCCTATGCCTTCCTTTTCTGGAAACCAGACAACTTCATAGGTAATCTCACATTAGGATGCTGTTTATCATATACTAGAGCTACTGTTCTGTTGATAGTGTGTTAAGGCTGCTGTCTTCCCCCTAGAAAGATATTTCTGGTGTAGTACTTGTACAGGATCTTCAGTAGGGTTTGGTGGGAGTAACGTGCAGCAGCTGAAGAGTTGGAGCCATCCACAGAGCAAGTGAAGAGATGGATTGCATTAAAAGGCTGCTACTTGGCTCTCTCCAGATATGTGGCAGTTGCTCTCAATCTGGAAGTAGATACAAAATCTCTGTTGGAATTTAGCAGGTGGTTGCAGTGGCTAGGAAAGCAACCTAGTGCTGGACTTGGTGCCAGTTCAAAGCTGGGAGAGCTGGTGTGTTCCCCGGAATGCAGTGGTTTTGATGTCTAGTTGTGGACATGCAGTGTGCTGGTGATACAGCATTGCCTTTGTTGCAAGATGGTCTCGATGCTGCAAGTAACTAAGTAGAGGTCTCTAGGCTTCTCTGTGAGCTGTGCTTCTCAGTGGGACATAATGGTTGTCCACCTTCCAGTGAAGGCTATGACAATACCAGGACTTCTCAGTGGGACATAATGGTAAGGGCCATCCACCTTCCAGTGAAGGCTATGACAATACCAGGCTCTTCAGCAGAGACTCCTGGCTGGTACACAGTTTCATTAGTCCTCTTAGGCGGTTGCAGTATGTGCTGTGCTGGCAGCCCCATGCAGTCAGCGTTCCAGGATATGGACTGTTCAAGGACTGGATATTACATTTGCCAGCAGTTTCTCTGCTGTCTGAAACTTGTAATGGCAAGTTTAACTCCTTGCCCTAAAGAACGAAAACTTTAAAGATTTAACTTAATGTACTGATATCTCTAATCAGGCATACATGAACTCAATGTAAACAAACTCGTTTCTTTCTCTTATAAATCAACAAAAACAGTCCTTCGGCAAACCTAGCAATGGCTTATGTTCTAATCGTCTAGCCTTGAAGGAGTGTAATAAGCCTGTCACTTCTGGAATACAGGGCAGTGGTGAAACATTTTTTCGCCCTAGGTTAATGCATCTCATAGAATAAACAAGTCATTAAATATCTTTGCTTTTAATTCTTGATGGCTAAAATAGTCTCATCCTTGGAATGAAGATTTCATGCAGTCTTCCACGCAAACTTGTAACTGCCAAGAGATTAATATGGTGCCCAGTACTCTCCTCTCCACAGACTCCTCCCCTAAAGTTTATCTGGGCAGAACATGAAATGAAGTACGAATAGATCTTAAAAGCACATCAGCTCCAAGTAATAATTTTTCTTATTGCTGTTTTTCCCACTGCTTGACAGGCCAGAGGATCTTTCTCTCATGCTGGCTGCAAACACGATTTTGGGGATGGAGTCTCCATGCAAGGCTTGTCTGTCCTCACCCTTGCCAGTGATGGCTGTATTGCATTTGCTGCTAAGTTCTGAAGAGAAAGGTTTTGGTGCACACTAAACCTATCCTGTTCTTCTTTTCCAGACCACGCGAGCAGAGTTTGATTTGCCAGAGTATTCTGTCCGCCGGCGGTACCAAGACTTCGACTGGTTGAGAAATAAGCTGGAAGAGTCTCAGCCTACGCATCTCATTCCCGTAGGTAGTAAGCAAGAATCTGCTATTAAAGACAGTTCTGTATCTGTCTTCCAAGGATGATAATTCAGTGATATGTCTCTTTAGATTTAAATACGGTACTTCATTCTCTTCTAGTATTCAGATTTAAATATGGTGGTTCATTCTCTTCAAGTGGAGTGGGAAGAGCTTCCCATTCTTGACTGATGATGAAGCTTAGACTTTCTTGAGTGGCACACCCGAGAGGTGAGCTTTGGCAGCCTCTTGTAGGGCAGTATATGTGGTGGTTACATTTGTTGTGGCATAAACGGAATATGCTTCATGTGCTTGTTCAATTGTCACATCTTGATTTCTGAGTATCTGAGGCTTATGAAAAGCTGCACAGGTACTTCAAGTCCAAGTTTCAGTCAGTTTTCAAGATGGCCTTTTGTGCTGGTTTTAAAGAGAGTATTTTAAAGCTATTTGTGCTAACATTTAATAGCACAGACTTACAAATCTTGGCCTCTGGCTTGGTAGCTATCACATGCCTTCAGTAGGCAGAATTTTAGCTAATGAGATTAGCTAAACTACTGCACCCCTTCTTGTTGCTGAAGTTGGCAGTCTGACCACTTTATGTGGTATGAAGAGGTTGATCTTCAGCAGTCTGGTTTTCATGCTGTAGAAGATGTGAAAAGGTAGGAAGGCTGTGAGATCACCACAATGGGCTCTTTTGAACAAAGAAATTCAAGAAGGCCTGTAGGAGGTCAAATGTTGGGAAATGCCAACTTACCTTAGTTTGCCCATATGGGTTGGGCAGGGGGGAGTTTCTCTGCTCTCCCTCCCTCAGCAAGGACTGGGGTATGTGAGAAGTATTCAGTTAGCCTGTTCCAGGGTAGAGAGCTATTTAAATCCTTAATTTCTCTGCGACTTGGCTCTAAGTGGAATAATAGCTCAGTCTCTCAAAGATAAGAAATACTTTACAAAATCATGTGACACCACTAACTGGCAGCAAATATGTTTGCTGAGGGGTAGGGAGAAGAGAAGAGAGAGAGTGAGCTTGCTGGGGTAAGGTAGAGACATAAGATTAATGTATTAGCTGCCAAGACCCTCTTTTCTCCCTCCCTGTTCTCTGAACAGCTGGAACTATCATGGTTAAGCTTCTGCAGATTCTTGAGTGTACTAACAGGCTGCCAGTCCTGCCTGGAAGCTGCAAGGCAATAAATAATCCTCTAGTAGCAGAAGGTGAGTCACAGCCAGGGAATCAAGCTGCTTTGCTGAGACCTGGAATTTGTTGCACACAGAACAGCAAATTTGGCACAAGTGGCTCTGATACTGGACATGAAACCAGCTGCAGAACAAGTCAGTCTCTTCAGTGCATCTCTTTTAGAGAATCTGGAAGTATAAGGATGCACTGCCCTTCTTCATCTGTCTATGCACAGTTAGCAGTTAAGAGAATTTCCTATTAATCGCCTCCATGCAGTGATATGGCAGGGAGGTTGCCAAATGCTTTATGTATTTATTGCCTAGAAGTAGATGGGGAATAAAAGCTGAAGGCAGTTTCAGGTGCACTGTAACTCATGTTTATTCTGAAAGGATGTTTCAAGCCAATCTAAGAGTATCTGTACTTGTAACTGGAGATGCTGCAATCCCTGGAGGCCGCCTGTCTAGCAAAATACCAAAAGGGGGTTGCCTTCCTTATCTCAGTATAATGACTCTGCCTAAAATTTTCCTGTAGCAAATGATTTATCTTCTCAGTGCAGGGAGTCATGATAGCCTACAGTTAGGAGCCCAAACTAAACTGAATATGGGTTCCTTTTAATCTCTTTGGCTACTGATTTTTACTTTTTTTTTTAAATGATCTGAAACTTATTCTAATCTGTTCTTTCAAAGAACAGTGAAATGCTCTCAGATCTCTCTCTAGACTAGAAAGATAAGCCTAACATGGCCAAGGATCTTGCCTTCGGATGGTAATGTTTGGATACTTGAAGCCATTTCTGACTGTAGTGAACTCTGCTCCCATGTCACAGCAGGGAAAAGTAGACTATTAAGCTGGTAGACTATAAGGTAGATAAGTAACACACAGTTAAAGCAGGATATCAATTGCTAGTTGTGTGTACTGACTACTTGGGATGGACTTCCAAAGGCCTAAAATGAAAAGGACTGTAACTGCTGCTATAGCTAAACCCAGGTTAAATGGCAGAATTTTCTGTAATAGAGGTCCACCCTCCTGTGGGTCCTAAATGCTCAAACTTTAGTGTTTGTTCAGTGCCAGTTTGCATGTGTTTAGTTGAACTAGGTTTCTTTAAACTAGTCTTCCAGTTTGTCCTTTTCTTCCTGCATTGGTGCTGAGGTAGTGACTTCCTAAAGTATGGAGTCCCAGCTAATGTTTTCAAAGTAAGGGAATAGAGTTTCTTCTTCCCTGAAGACTACTGCACTAAGCATTATTCTTCTGAAGAAGTCTAATTAGAGTGTATCTTACACTGGTTTAACTAGAATGACTGATCTGAATGCTAAGCATAATAAGTCTTAAATTATAAGAACATAATATAGTGGTCAAAAAGTAGCTGTGCTGCAGCTAAGTCATGCTGGCTGGGTTTTTTTAGGAAGTACAATCTTCATGTACCTTCCACATCAGCTAGCGTATGGTGGGAAAGGCATATGCATGCACAATTTTTTTTCCTTTGAATTACTTTTGTCACCGATTTCAGGTGACAAAGACTCTTTTCAGGAATCAGGATTCTCCTCTGCATTGGGTGAAAAAGGCTGTCATCTCTAGCCTAAAGAGTAAGCAGATTACCTGTCTGAGTGGACTGTTTCACAAGAATAAAATGCAAAGCACAGTTTTAAAACTGATACTAATCTTAGAGTCCATGCTGTCTGGAGAGAACAAAAGCAGATCTAGTGGCAGAGCTGAGACCAACCATGCTGAAGCTCAAAGGGTTATCATCCATCTGAAGCGGTACTTTGAAGTCTGGAGTTTAAGTGTAAGAGGAGGGCCTGCAGAACTAGCAAGTCTGGAAGAAGATTTGGGCTTACATGTTAAGCTGAACTGCAGAGATGAACTGGTGGAGTCAGAATTAGGAGTAAGACAGAAGAGAGGTGTGTTGGCAGATGTTTGTCACTTACACAAGCATGCTCAAGAATGTCAGCTATGACAGATGACCGAGCGTGCAAGTGCTACAGAAAGGCTCTAGCCTGGACTACTGGACTATTTGCTGTGTCAAGCTGGCTCGTCTGTCTTTCCTCAGTGTGGTGCTATTACTAAGAATATCAGCCCCCTGCAGAAGGGACCTGTCCAGGAGCTCTAAACTGTTCAGAATGGGGGAGAAAAGAGTAACAAGAACTTTCTGTTAAACTTTCTGAGTTTCCTTGGACCAAGCAGCCTTGCTTCAGCATTGGGATGTATGCATGTGTGCATAGCTGTAGTGAATAGTCTGCAGCTCTGCTGGCATCTCCTTTAGAGCTGGAGTTTGAACATGGTTCATGGAACATGGTGGGGGCAACACCCTAAGCTATGCTAGAAATTCATAGTACAGGTACTCTCTGGGTTTCACTGGTGTGGCTCTCAGCTGAAGCCACTCAGTAGAATTGCTAGCATTAGGCTGGGCTAGCTAAAAGGTAATTGAGAGCAGGGCTTGCATCCCATCTGTTGTATGGTTCCTGTTAGTAAACATAATTTTTCAGTTCCTGTTAAGACTGGGGTTTGATTGCTTTGTATGTTTCCAAATAGCAGAAGCAAGTTTTTGGTCTTCTGAATCTTCTGCATTTTGCTTGTCTCTGACAGCCTCTTCCTGAGAAATTTGTGGTGAAGGGCGTTGTCGATCGTTTTTCTGAAGAGTTCGTGGAGACGAGGAGGAAAGCATTAGACAAATTCTTGAAGAGAATAACTGATCACCCAGTGCTTTCTTTTAATGAGCACTTCAGCGTGTTTCTCACAGCCAAGGTAAGCCAGTAACGTCCGAACACAGTCATTGAAACGGACAACAGAACAGACACCTTTGCAGTCTCTTGCAGTCTCTCGACAGACACATGTGCAGGTCAGAGCTTCCCTTAAAATACCAGAGAGTTATTGAGGACCCTGAATGTTGTTTGTGGCAGAACCCTGTGTGTGTGACAGCCGTATGGGTTCCCTTTGCTTGAAGGGAGGGGTGGTCTTCAAATTTACAAACTCAGTTCTCCATCCCTGCTTGTTTTGTATTCCTGTGTCTAGAACATACTCTGATGCAAGAGAGGTTCAGAATTTAGAAGACTGTAGACTTTGTAAAATCCTCTTTTGGGGAGGAGGGAAGTTCTCTCTTGCACAAAAGCTTGCAAATTTCTTGGCTTTTTTCTTGTCTGTGCCTTCTATACTGCTTGCACTTGTTACCCTCAAAACTAAGTGTGAAGACCTCATTCTTGTTTGTTCTTGGTCAACAACTTCCTGCTCATCTTCTACGTGACTCATCCAGCAACAGTGCAATTTTCTTTGTCTTTTGAACTGCATTTTAAATAAGACTAGGAGGAACTACAGTCATGCTTTAGTTCAACCTGATAAGCGAGGAGAGCTGTAAAAGCACGTCTTTCCAATGGTACATTACACTAGCTCACTCAGATGTGACACTTAATTTGAGCTCGCTTCAGGCTTCTGCTCTGCTTGCTGGTAATGTGAGACTCAATCTCCAGTTCCCTTTTATTTCCCCTCCGTGGTGAACTTCACCACTGAAACAAGCCAGAAATGCAGAATTTGTTTAGCACCTTGATAGTTAAATGTCGGATAGCTTTGTTCTGCTTTTCAGCTGTCGAAGCATGATGCAACTTTCTTAGCTGCTTAGTCGACTTCTCCTACCCCTGTAAAATGAACGGTAAGGGCTTTATCCTCAGCCCTGGGCAGGGCTTACCTTGAAAATACAGAGCATCCAGGGAGGCTGAGGAAGAAGTGTTCTTCTGGCTGTTCTAGTGTCGGAACTTGCTGTATTGCAGCAATGGGGTGTCAGTTCAGTGTGCTAGGACTTCATAATTTAGTTGGTTACTGCAGAAAGTCGTGAGACCACCTCCTGGTTGAAAAAAAGAAACCAACCTTTCTTCAAGTTCCCTGTTTGGACCAGTAGCACACCAGAATGCTTGAGAGAGTGTGTGAATAATTTTGAGTTAAAGGGTCTTTTCCTGATGCCTGCTAGCAGGTAGTGCTTGAGGCAGGCCAAAGGCAAGAGTCAAAGAACCACTGCATTTAAATACAAACAAAATTCAAACTTACAGTAGCTGCTAAGATGACAGGTTCTCTTAATCAGACTTAATGTTTGACTTAGTATAAGTACTTGGAAAGAATACTATAGCATGTGTTTTGAAGATGTCTGTTGTATTTTTTTGAAAGAACATTTAAACTTTTAGTCTAGTTTGTAATACCATGTCTTGATTCTTGAGCTCTACAGGTCTGCTTGGTTGGAATACATCTCTTCCTCAGGCTGTGTAGGATAATCTAGTTACAGCCATTAAGCCTGTTTTGGAATGTTGAATAGTGACCCCTGCTGGAAGGAGTAGAATGCAAAATGGATGGTGTTTTGGCTAACTAAACCCATTTTTTTCTGATGTGCTGTCAAGGTGAAATCCCTCGAAGATTGTAGGTAAACAACCTTGTTCACATAGGTTGTCTGAATGTTGATTTATGCAAACGTGTAAAGCATTGGCAAGGAAGTTTAAGTTTTCTGTGCTGGGAACATGGCCCTGTGTAACCCAGCCTGAGCTGCAGTCTGTTTTGCAGAGAAGCTGTGCTAGTATCCCCCTAATGCGCTTTTTCTGTGTACAGTCTTCCCCTGTCTCCTCTCTGACCACGCAACTAGTGTGAGGACACTGCTGACCCAATAGGCATGCAATATGTAGCTCTGTACTAGGTCATCAGAGCCAGCTGGTACATTTGTATCATATTGGTATTGTGGGCTATGACTTAGAAGTATGTGTGGATGAATGCCATGAACAGTATTGGTGGAAACAGAGCTGTTAATATCTCTACTTCCCTGGTGACAGTACAGGAACATGGGAAAGTCTGGCCACGTGCAAAGGTGGACCACTTACCCATTTGTGATGTAATTCATACCATTCTCCTGGATAGCTTATCTCCATCTAGACGTAGTCTTCAAACTGTGCTCAGCTGTACAACTTGTTTTGTCCAAGGCTACATATCATGTGCAGTCTCTTGCCTTCACAAGATTTGATCTCGATTGGAAAGTATCCATCACTATATTAATCTTCCAAAATGCAAGTGAAATTATTTCTAAACTGTTTTTTTTTTTTAACTTCCCAGGATCTTAATGCCTACAAAAGGCAAGGAATGGCATTGCTGTCAAAGATGGGGGAGTCTGTCAAATACGTTACAGGAGGCTACAAATTAAGAAGTCGGCCACTGGAGTTTGCAGCCATTGGGGAGTATCTAGACACATTCTCTCTAAAGCTTGGTACCATTGACAGAATAGCACAACGGATTATCAAAGAACAATTGGGTAAGGACACAAGGTTGCACTATCATAAGACTTAAGTATAAGTGCTCTGTATCTTGTTCTGGTTGATGGCATGACCAAGGCAACTTGCATCAATGATTCTGGCCTATAATGAGCCACATGTAGAACAAAATCTAATGCCTCTTGCAGTTTTAAAACAGGCCCAAAGCCTATCACAATATCTTACCTTAGCTCAACTCTCGAAGTATTTTTAAAGTTGCTCTTGTAGTGCTACCAACCTACTTTCTTACTAAAGTTATTTTTGGAAAGACTTTTGGGAGGGGGAAAAACCTCTAGATGCCATCTGGAGGAGTACAGATGGAATTCCTAGACGAGGTAACCTTTACAGACCTGTCTTAGCAGAGCCAAGTTTTAAAAGAATTCCTTCAGCTACTGCACAGATGCAAATGTCTTTGTATTGGAAGCTTGTAGGACTGGTCAGTTAAGCAGGAGACAACTTGGACCTGTCACTTGTGCAGCCATAGAGCTCTGTCTATTAAGATGCTAATGCAACACAAGACTTGACTCCCAAGGAGTTAATATTTGCCAAGCTTGGTGCATAGTTTCTCCAGTTTGGTGTGAGTGTTTGCAGATACTTGTGCCTTGCCTTGCTCTGTTAATCTACTTTTCCGTCTGCCTATTGCAGAGTACTTGGTGGAATTACGGGAATATGGACCTGTTTATTCAACCTGGGGAGGGCTGGAGGTTGAGCTATCAGAGCCACTGGAAGGGGTGTCTGCCTGTATTGGGAACTGCTGCACAGCCCTTGAAGAACTCAGTGAAGACATGACTGAAGACTTCCTGCCTGTCCTTAGGGAATATATATTGTACTCAGACTCAATGAAGGTAAAGAGAGCCCTGTGGCAGAAGACACTGTCATTGTGTTTGCATAGAATGATGTATCAGTGAGTTCATTCTTTCTAACAGTGAGAAAGGGTTGGTGGTGGGAAGAGTGGGGAAGTAAATAATACATTAAGTAGGAGGATGTTTTTGTAATCAAAACAAAACTAGGTATGGTTAGTAGCAGGGCACTGCATGGGTAAGCATTATCTGTCTGCTCTGCTGTTCAGTCGGGCTAAGGTCAGTAATGCTGGAGTGCACACAAAGTGTTAAAGAGTTGCTCCTTCAATGGAGTGGCAGGTGGTACTCTATAGGAAACATCCTATGGCTGCCTAGAATCTTCTCTCTGAATTGTTAGAAAGTCAGTTGTGGCTCAGCTCTTCACTACTGGGTCAGTGTCTGGCCCTGCAGAAAAGGTGGCATTAGCAGCTTCTGTCACTTGTATGTAGCAGAGTTGGGCGCCTTCTTTTAGAATCATGTGTGCAAATGACAGACACTGCTTCCTCTCTCATCCCCATACCCTAAGCAGGATGTGTGTGTTGTAAAGTTAAGTTCTGCATGCCAAGTAACTGCTTAAAGATGTTTTGTGACTCTTAATCTCTATGAGAACTTGGTATCTTACTGCTTATGCAGATGTAATAAAAGCTACTTTCAATGCAATTTTTATTCTCTTGAAGTTATGGAGCGTTGGTAGACAATCCCATTGCATGGGAAAAAGAATTACTGAGTTAACTGCACTGAGCACTGAAATCAAGGACTCTAGTTTGGCTGTTAGAGCTTTTCACCACATGCCCGTGGTACAGTATGTATTAGCAGTCCCTGTATAGGGTACTAACAGAAAAATTCCTTCTGAGAACTTTCCACTTGGAACAACTGTTACAAGGCTAAGGTATGTGCTCCATTAGAGATTTAATACCTAGTTGTAAATCTACAGTCTGAACGTGGCAGTCCTCCTTCATCTTAATCTTAGTCATCCTATACTTCTCAAACTGAGAATTTAAACACTTTCAGATTTCTTTTCCCAGCTTCAGATGGCTAGTTATATGGCTCCTGTCTTGCCCGGCTGAAGTATTTGTGCAGAAGGCTTCGCACTAGTTCCCTGTGTGTACTCTTTGTATCATAGTCTTGGTATTGACCCCAACATAAACGAGGTGCATCTTCTTTACAGGACTGTTAGTGCCCAAGTATTGCTGGAACAACAGCAATAGGTATTCCTGAGCTGTAGCTGGGAGCCTTGACCCAGAGTGTTCAGACTTATCCTTATTCTGTAGGAAGGGGTATGTGTACTTACAAAGAACATGAGACTAATGATTAAAGCTTTTAGTCCAGAACAGGTGGCTTTTGATGCTACAAATACCATGGCCTACTGGAGATGGCACCTGAGGTGGCAAGCTGAGTTGTGAGAGGCACTTTTCACAAATGTAGTGGGAGAAAAATTATTTTAAGCTAAAAAGCAAGAGTTTCTTCAGCTGAAGAGGTATTTCAGGCAGTTAAACACCACTTACCACAGGGAGAGTGGTGTTAAAGACTCACAGCTAGGCTACCTGTTGGCTTGGAGATAGTCCCACTCTAAAAGGACTCTTGTCAGATGACGGTAAAGACATTAAGTGCAGTCTCCAAGCAACAGGTAGCCTAGCTGCAAGTCTCTAACACCGCTTTCCCTGTGGTAAGTGGTGTTTAACTGCCTGAAGTACCTCTTCAGCTGAAGAAACCCTTGCTTTTTAGCTCAATTTTTAGACCATTGACTTGACTTTCTAGTGCCCTAAAGGATTCACTCTTCTGTCAATTATACTCTGGTAATGGACTGACAATACTCATTGTGTTGATGCTTTGGAACTGGTTGGATCTAGAAACCACACTTGCAAAATAGCAATTAATAGCAGATTGGGATTATGCTGCTTAGTGTCCAGCTTGAGAATCTTGTTAGCTTTAATCTGTCTGAAAATCGAGAATAAAAACTATTTCTAGCCAAGGCAGACTGTTCCTATTTTTCTTCCCTCCCAAATACCAAAACTGAAATCTCTCAGGTCATATCAAGTGGTTTTCTTATGCTAGAAAATATCAGTCTGTTGCTATTTCTGCAGTAAGCAGCTACAGAACTGTCTTCCCAGACTCTGTAAAACCAAGTAAGTAACTGTAAAGGAGACTCGGAGTGCAGGAGGCTTTCTGCTGTGAAAGGGCTATCCTCCTCACTAGCGGTGCAGTCCTCTTCATCAGCTGCTGTGAGGCCTGCTTGTGAAATTAGTATGTTTATGTCTTTCAGAGCACAGCTTTTGGACAGGGTACCTGATGGAAGGTAAGTCTTTAGGTACCAGGAGTTCACTGCAACCTTGATAGCTTTCCCTGTTGCACACTGTACTCCAGGTTTAGGAATGGAAACTTGATTTGTAGAGCAATCTGTAGCTGGGTGAATGTCCCTCAGAGTAAGAAGTGCCAGGGTATCTTTGCTGTTTGAGGTGAATGTTCATGTTTAGCATCTTCAGGAGCACTGTTATACCTGGGGAGGGGGGCAGTCTGAGGGAACTGCGCATATGTAGACGAAGCGCAGTATTTGTGGTTGAAACAAGTATTGGATGGCTCCAGGGAAACCCTGTCTCTGGGTTTGCTTGAAAGATTTGCAGCAGTGGGGAGAGGCTGGCATTGTGGGCTTGAGTTAAAATGTATGCTGTAATGTCTAGGAGAGACCTTTTCTAAAACACAGGCCATGTATGACATGGCCAGATGACATCTCAAATCCTGGTGCATTGAGGCCCTTGTCAGCAAACATGCGGTACTGCATTTTTTGCGGTACAATGGTGTTCACAGGGAGGCAAGTACAGAGAGAAAAACTCAGCTCTACAGAATTCACCACTGATATTAGAGTGTTATATGAACTCTGGATGCTTAACACTGCCAGAAAGGCTTATCAGATGGTGCAATCCCCAGCTGTGTGCTTGGCCATAACTGGTAATGCATGTTTAAAACAAGCACCATATGAATAGCAGTCTCTCTAAAGACACGCAGTAAATAAGGATCCTTTTGTGAGGTCTGGTTTTAGTAGGAAGCTATGTGGTGTGCAAATGGCATAGGATTGCAATTTGAGAAAGGCTGGTGGCAAACTCCTGAAGCTCCGTCAGAGATACAGGCCAAGGTGAAATGTTTCTACTAGATACAAAATGGTCATGGATCTATCTCATGGAAAGCAAGCTAAGTCTTGCTTGTACAGGGACCAGTGGTTTAGTTCTGTCCCCAAACAACTGACATGCGGTGTGTGAGTTTTTTCTGTCTGGTGTTGGTTTCTTCCAATTTCTTCCAACTTTTTTTTTTTTTTTTTAGTATTCTCTTTAAATGAGGCCTTAACTAGCAGAGATATTGCATGGGCTGTAACTCTGGGGGTGCTCGGTATAGAGCTTTTCAGAGCAGCTGCTGAAGCATTAATGCATTGATCCACAGCTGAGAAGAGATTGCCTGGAGGTGCCAGAGGAAATGCTTCCTTTCACATATGGGACAAGTGAAAGGCAAGGCAATATTTTCTCATCCCTTACAGGTCAGCCATTAATGGGTACTTAAAGCTATATTCAGAAGCATATTGTTAATGGCCCACAGTGGATGGACTTGAGCACTTAAGGAGAAATAACACACCTGCCCTTTGAATCTAGTCTGCTGATAACTGTTAATCATTGGCTACTCCTGGTACAAGTCCAGCTCACTGCACTAACTCCAGGCTCCTAAAGGCTGAATGCAGTTGCTGGAGGCGACTATTTTTCTGAGAAGAAATTTCAGTTGACTCAGGTTCAAGAGGCAATATGAAGTAGAATAAATCTCTCAGGCTTTTGTGGCGTTGGTAGCCTTCAGTCAGTTAAGGGCTATTCCACATTGTTGCTTAGATTCCAAAAGGAACAGGAACGTTGTGGTTTTGCAAGCAAACAAGACCAATGGCATGCTTGCTTGCATCCCTTTGGGGACAAAAGGGAGGGCTAAGCTGTTGAAGGTGAATTTTTCAGTTTTGCCCCCTCCCCTCCTTTTTTTTTGCCTAAACCAATAGTGACTTTGTGGATGGGGTACCATTCCCATTTGTCATGGACTGAGGTTTGTGAGAACACTGATTGCAACGTCTCCTATCTCTGCTCTAGACCAACTGCACTGGTGACCTTCCCTTGGACTAAGAAGGAGGAGGGGGAAGATGGTGATTAGTAAATACAGGTTTTCTACATCTTCAATTAGGAAACAGGTCTTGGCTAGACTGGCTCCTAGAACTCTGAGAACTATGCTTTTAAACACCTGTTTCTGTACACAGCAGTGCACATGACTAGTCCTGCTTCACTAGCCTTGTCTGAAACTGTTAAAATGACTAGTTACCTCCTTTTGTCCTAATGGGGTGATTACTTCTGCATGGCAGAAAGGAAGACTGGAAGTATGAACTGGCCATGCTGGCTGCAAGAGAAGTTCAAATTTACAGGTGCTTCAGCAGTGAGTGTTGGCTGACTTCCCCCTGAGCATTTTTAATAATGACTTTGCATCAACTGAATTACAAAAAATTTCTAGTTGTTTCCCTGTGAAGACTGAAGAAGTAAGTTGTCCACTCTCACAGACACAGAACTGCTTATTTTTAGTAGTATATTCTTAAAAAGACTAATTTCTATGTTCTTTTTAAATTGTAAGACTGTAGTATAACCTTAGTGGAGGTCTTGGGTTGTGGATATAGTACAATATAAGGGTAGGACCTTTTGGTCTCTATTCTGAGAATACTCTGCCAATAAAATGTTTACTGCTTGTGAAACTCACTCAGATAGTTCAGTGCTTTTCAAGTAAATTGTGCTTTTCAGAATTTTAACTTTTTTAGTTAAATCAACAACCAAACCCCCCAAACTGATCTAAAAGAAAAGCTTTTGTTCTAACACAAGAATGTTAACAGCTTGCTGTAAACGACTTTGAGGAATTTTTGCAAGTGAAAAGGGAGATGTAATACTTTCTGTGATGGCCTTCTTGTCTCTTAGCCCACGCTTTTGTCTGTCTGCTGCTTGAGGATATCAGAACCCTTGCACTAGTCCTTGACAGCTGTGATGCTTTTCTTTATGTCCTTTTCACGCTCATAATAGGTTAACTGATGAATTGAATTTACTTAGTCAGGGTTATATTCATGGTTACATGACAGCTTCTATCTTGCATGCCTCCAGCTTGTCCAAATATTGAATTTTATCTGACCCTGCCAGCTGCTTGAGAGCAAGTGGTCTTTGTTTTTAAAAGCTACTCCCTGAATACTGTAAAACAGGACAAAGTAAGTCTGTAAGTCTGGCTTAAGACTGAATTATTACTTAAGCTGTATCACTTCACAGTTTCTTCCAGGCTGGGGACGGAAGGAACAAGAGGGTCCCTCTCATAGCTATCTTTTCTTTTGCCCATAGAATGTCTTGAAGAAGAGAGACCAAGTTCAAGCGGAGTATGAAGCAAAACTGGAAGCAGTAGCCTTGAAAAAGGAAGACCGTCCAAAGGTTAGCACTTAAAAATACTCTACAAAACCAGCTTGCACTTACGTTGCTTCCTGAGAATGGAGAAACAGAACTTGCTTTGTCTGGGTCTGGTGGCTGCTTTGCAATATAAGCAATTTCTGGCAGAACAGAATTTTGTTGTTGGCAAACCAGTGTGAAATAAACACCTAAGTGTGAACATATATAACCTGTCTAGCAACTTCTGTACTGCTGATCTCCCACCTTTCAGAGCAGGATGGTCCCGACCTGTGTAGCACTTGAACAACAGCTGGCAGCGATCGCTTGGAGTGTTTAGTGACAGGGACTGAAGCAGTGGTAGAACAGTCCCTGGTGATTTAGCGGGATGTCGGCTAGCTGAGCTAAGGTCCTAGCCCTGGCACTGCTGAACTGTCTTCTAGAATACCTGTTCTGACTGTAAAAGACTCGTGTTTTGCCCCTCCTGATAGGAAGGTCTTCCTGTGTGATACTGAACAGGCACAGGAGGGTGTCACTGGGTGACAGGTTTTGGCCAGGCTTCATGCAGAACAAAGCTGTTGGCTGGCGTTCTTGTGCTGCCACCTGCTTTCTGCACAAAGCAGCATGCGAGACCCTGTCTTACATCCCTGCAACTTTGACCAACAATGACAACAGCTTTTGTTCCTTTCCTCTGCTTGGGGTTTTTTGGTTCCCCTTCATCTTTGTGTTAATAACTAATGGGTGACTTTCCACTATTAGGGCTACTCTACAATAATCTTACAGGAGGTTCGCATAATATCTTTAAGAAGCTGAAGAGGACAGAGCATAGAAATACAAACTGATATTTTTCTGGTCTTGTGTCTGTCACAGACTCTACAAATTGTGTTCTCTCAGGTATCTTGTGGTGCTCTTGTTTTAGACTTTTCCCTGCCCCGCTGCTGGCTGGTGTGGTATGTACTCTTACTTCCTCAGCGTAGCTTTGTATAAGCAGGTATTGTACCAAGTTGTATGTAGGATACAGGGAACTCAATCTAGCATATCCAGCAAGCCAATTGAGGTTTTTAGGAATTTGACTCTATAAAGATCTTGATTCAGTGGAACTGCTGAACATCGCTAATCTCTCACCTACGAAAAGGCTTTTGCATCTCACCTCTCAGTGGGATTATTGTGTAAAGCACAGAATTTAAACCGGTGTCTTAAGAATTTTTTGAATTCTTACATCTCCTCTTCAGAGTATAAGCATATCTTTTGGCAACTCATTGTACCTTTTTCTCCAACATAAGTCTTTAGTGTCATTTACAAGATGAAGTTGAACAAAGTAATAGAACTCCTCGAATATTCAAAAAATACTAGCTCTTGTTTTTCAGATCCTTTCCACCTGGAGGGAATGTCTTCATCTGTAAGAGCTGTTAGCTCAGAGCCATGGCTAGCAGCACATCTTAAATTCAGTGGGGTCTCCTGGCTATGACTTGCTGGAAGCAAAAGCAGACAGAAGATCACAGGCTGGGTTATGCAGTAAATGGTATTGGTGTTCCTTTTGGTATATTTAGTTGATTTGGCAGAAATTATATTCTAAAAAAACCTCAAACCCTTAAGGGAAAAAAGACCTATGTTTGGATCACAAAATGAGGGCCTATCATTACTTGTTAATCTCTTCCACTGGAGGGCATTCCAGGACTTACTGTACACATAATCAGATTGGCTTCACAAAGCTTGGTCAGTGTCATTAGGTCGTTCTCACATTGAGATGATCGGCTTAGAACTCGGTGTCCTATAAATGCAGAAGGCTTGTAGGGCTACTGTAAGTGTCTGTCAGCAAACCCTGCTCAGGCTGCTGAAGTTTACACCAAAAGCATAGCGTGTGTGGTGTTTTTTAACACTAGTGTAACAGTGCAGAGCCTTTCTAACAAGTACACTGGTGAAGTGCTTCCTACCCATTTCTGACCCACTCTGGAGCTGTTTTTGCGGTAATCCAACCAACATAGTGAAGTGCAGGCTTTGTTTCCTTTTGGTGAGATGAAGTCTGTCTCTGACTTAATCTATTCTGTCTGCCTCAAGGCTTTGCAGTGTGGTGATCTGTAGGAGCAGTAAATACGGCAGTGCAGAACTTGAAGTAGAAGGTGACCATGTGCATTTACCGGGGGGGAGGGCGGGAGAGGGGAGGAGGCTTGTAACAATCTATGTTTCCATAGAACTGGGAAGGTAGAAATATCATATACAGAGATGAATTGCCTAATAAATGCTGGATTTGTTGTGCATCAGGACCCGTTGTTACTTGGTAATGATGCTGTAGAGGAGATGTAGAAAAGTGCACATGCTACAACAGTGGACATGCTTATGCTGCAAATGATGCCATCTGCACTTGACTAAATTCTAGATGTGAGGCATACTTAGCCTCTGATCCCTTCAAGAATTATGTGAAGAGGAATAGATGTAGGTGCAGAACTTTATATCATATAATGAGGTGACCAGATTCCTGAATATACAATTTTATGCTCAGTTCTTGCCTGCATATACATCTCTTCTCAGTTTGAATTGACTCACTAAAATAGTCATGGGCCCTTCTAGAGTGTATTGGAGTTGGAGCAGATGTCACTTGGTTTTGGGGCTGGGTTTTTTCTGAGCTATTAAAGTAGCTGAGAGCAGCCATAAGAAATGAAAAGTAAGAAAGTAGTAACTTTCCCCAAAGCGGTACATCCTTTCTTCTCTGTTCCTAGCTAATATTTAGTATCTTTATTGGTAAAAGCAGGTAAAAGCATCGGCATTGATGCTTCAGCTTATGTTCAGGTTTGATGTTAGAACTAGATCTCCCTTTTCAGTAAACTTGCACTAGATATAAAGTGTTTAAAAGGTGTTAATTAACTTAAAATTTTGTTTCAGCTACTGAGTTGCAACTTCCATTCTGGGAAGCTGCAGTTTTAGAAGGAAAGGTATTTACACTCCTGAACAGGCTGAACAGGACTGGTGCATGTGCAGACACCACTTTAATGATGCCCGTGGAGACTTAGCTGGAGTTCGTTCCTTAATTATAGCATATGTGACCCATTTACTGACCACTGGGTTGTCCCTGTAGCTCTAAACCCATGCAGCCCTCTCAGCCTGACCCACAGGAGAGCTGGCTGTGAGAAAGAACAGATTTTTAAAAATTTTTTTTTATAGCTTCATTGTGGTTTCAGATCCTGGCAGAAGAAGCAGGAAGCTGGTGAGTGCTTAGAAACTCACTTAATTGGATTGGGAAATCTTATGTGGTTTTACTTCCAGACTTCATGACTCTTTCTCTTGATAGCCTTTTCTGTTAAGATAGCAGAGTACTTATGAATATGATGCAAGGCATACTCGCCTTGAGGGTAGCATCTTTGAAACCTTCCAGCCACTGGCTTGGTAGTTCTTGTCTGAAGACCGTGGAGAGAACTGCATGTCTGGACTTGTAGCAGAGTGGATTCTGTAGCCAGAAGTACAGTGCTCTGAGAGGGTGGGGGAAATGTGTAGCTATTGAACCCCCAAGCTATCTGTAGTGTAAATCCAGTTGTGTTAATAAAGGGGTACTCAAATCCTGTGAGTCTGAAAGAGGTGCTTCCTTCCAACAGCTTTATTGGAGAACAGATGTAGGGCCTTCTCTGAATATTAGTCAATTTAGTACTTCAGTGATCAGCCATAATCCACATCATGTGCCTAAATCATGTACTTTGCCAGACTGCAAGGTAGTAGCACACCTCTAGCTTACTATATTGTTACCTATTAAAAGCTTCTTACATAGTCTGTTCATGCTCTTTCTTCATGCCCTTCAAATAAAGAGAATTTCCTGAAAGTATCAAGTATGAGAGGAGCCACTACAAGCTTCTGCTGATGTTCTTCATTCTGCCTTTTGCCTTTGTGCAAGTCACAGCTTCCAGAGTGTTCACTTCTCACATTGGTGCTAGAGCTCAGAGGTTTCCTTTTCTGAGGTCATGGGCTTAGTCTGTATGTACCTTACAAGGCTTCCCATCTGCGTGGACCATGCAGCACAAGGAGAAAGGAGAGAAAGGTTTTCATAGCTTTCCTGATTGAAGAAATGTTTGTAAATTGTTCCTGTAGTGGCCTGGTGGTATACATGATGTTAGTTAAAATATAAGCAAAGAACACCAACTTCTTTGGATTAAAGTGCATCTACCTTGGGCCAGTGACTACTAGCCGTATAAATCTCCACCTAGCCTTGCAATAGGGTGTCCTTCAAGACCTTCTCCCATTGCTTATGTGTGATTATGTGTCCAGTGTTGAGTCCAACGGTCCATGAGCCGGTCCACAGTGATGATCATCACTTTACACTTACATTTTTTTTTCAGGCAGCCTGTAAGGTTAAATGTGGAAGCTGGAAACTAGAGGCTTAGGAATTTTATTCTGCAACCATAGCTGGTCACTGCTGTTTGTATACTTCAGTCAAGAGATAACACTGAGGTCTCTTATCCAGCTCTTTGGACAAACCTAAATGTTTGTTTCATACATGCTGCTGTAAATTGGGAAATGCCTAGTGCAGCTGTTAATGGGAAGGAGGAGAGGAAGCTTGCTCTGGAGCTGTAAGTCCAGCTGCTCCATTTGAGAATTAGGAACTGAGTCTAGGCACCCAGCACTTACACCAAATGGTTTTCCTCTTCATGTGCCTCTAGCAAGCTCTTCCTCAGTTTGCCTCTGTATCTGGCATAGAGATGGACAACACAACTGCCCACCACCTCGAGCAGCAGAGAACAAATTAAGCAATCCTATCTACTCACTAATACAGAACTGGGGCTTTTCTTCCTGCAGCCATAACTGAGTTTATTTAGCGTAACTACTGGACTGTTAACCTATCCTTTCCTCTGTAGCTTTGCTCAGTGTGGTTTGAGCTAATTCAGCAGTCTAGCACTCTCAGTGATGGTTTCAATCTTCATTTCTTTTGCTGCAGGTACCCACAGATGTTGAGAAATGTCAAGACCGAGTAGAATGTTTTAATGCTGACCTGAAAGCGGATATGGAGAGATGGCAGAACAACAAAAGACAAGATTTTAGGCAGCTACTCATGGGGATGGCAGATAAAAACATCCAATACTACGAGAAGGTATGTGGCACTCCTGGGGCATTGGCAGGAATAGGAGTAGTTAATTTTCCTCTGAGGTCATGATAGGAAATCTTCACTCTGTCTTGAAGAAAAGAGTCTTGGACATCTAAATCAGTTCTCTAGTGCTGTGGAAGCTGCTCTTTGTCAGCAGCTTAGTGTAATCTATGGAGTTGCTGGTCATGCTGAAGTGATCTGCCTGAGACTAGCAGTCTTTTGCAAGGCAGCCCTGTAACAGCATTTCATAGAATCATAGAATCATAGAATGTTTTGGGTTGGAAGGGACCCCTAGAGGTCATCTAGTCCAACCCCCCTGCAGGAGCAGGGACACCGCTAACCAGATCAGGTTGCTCAGAGCCCCGTCCAACCTGGCCTATCCTGGATGCTTGTCTGTCTTGTGTTCTTGAATTGAACAAATTACTGAGCAGCAGTAGTGGCAATGAAAAACACCAAAACTGCATGTTTTAGTAATATTACCAGACTAAAAAATGCCTTGATTCTGCCTTTTATGAACCAGACTACATGGGTTAATGCACATCCATGGATCCATATACAGACTACACCTGGTATGCATAAATTATTCTAATCTCTGTCCCCTTGTGCATAGTTCTGTCCCTTGTATGCTAATCCTGGTAATACGTAGTCAGGTGCCTCTGCCCTTCTTCAGTTGGTAATTCATAAGTAGTCACACAGAACTTCCTTCACCCTGGTCTTTTCTTTCTTCTGAGACTGCTGTGGAGAGGGGTATTAAAGACTCCACCGAACATCTAGCTGTGCCTCTGCAATTGGCAGTTAAATCTGTACATCTTAGTTTTGCTCTTAGCTGCAGCAAGGAAGGTTTTTGGCAGAAAAGCATCTAATCTCTTCAGGATACGCATCTAGAAATATTCTATTCACCTGCAGTACAATTGGCAAGGTTAGAAAGAAGCTGCTTGACAACAGTGGCTTGTGTATATAAGAGCTGGTGATGAGTTTGCCCATTCCCAGTGTTTAATAATGTGTATTCCGTGGTCTGTATTTGCCCTGTATGACTTCTGGGCTGTACGTGGTTATAGACAGTAATGATACATGACACAGGGACTGGAGTAAGCATATGGGTCCGGGGAGATGTCTCCAAAGCCTGGAGTGACTTTCTAATAACCCAGAAGCTAGACTCCACTTTTATTTCACTATACCAGGCACTACTAGTTTGTCAACATATTGGAGACAAGTCTCAGAGGTGTACCAGAGTACACTGTATCTCTGAACTACCTTCCCTGAATGCATGGGTTTTTCAAATAAGTTTGCTGGAGGTAATCTGTAATAGCTGCCATTGTGTCCAAATCAGCCCTCTGCCACAGTCACACCACAAAGATGTGAATTTCTGCTAGAAACAGTTTGTCTGCCTAGCTGAAAGCTGTGGTGTTCTTCAGTTCAGAAGAATCTAGCGTGGTATTTGGAAATCCTGGGTATTTTGATGATTTTTTAATGGCTTGGGCCAGCTGATGGCTTTAGAAAGCTTTAATTTGTTTTCTTTGTTTAGAAATGGCAGCTATGCTTTCTGAACACTTTCTTGGTGTTTGAGATTCCTGTTTTTTTTTCCCCCCTTCTTTAATAATCTGTAAAGACCTGGCTAGCCTTTCCTGAACTTGCATTCTGTTGGTCTGGAAGGGTTCGTCAAAAGTTACAAGAACTGATGTACAATCTATTTTTTAAATCTCTATTTCTTTCTTCAGTGCCTTACGGCGTGGGAGTCAATTATACCACTATTACAAGACAAGCCAGAGACCAAATAAGAAGTACCTTCATGGACACTTCTATGCTCAGTACCACTAGACATACTGGAACTGTATGAAGGACTCCTTTTGTTAAGTTAACCGAAATGCCAGCTGCACTTAGGCTGGAACAGACGCTCTGAAAACTATTGGGATTTTTTTCCTCACTTTCTGTGTTTAAACTGGGGTATGTTTCATCTTTTTGAGTTATCTTGAATGGTTCCTTCTTTATCCTATGGAGTGATTTGGGGGTTCATAGTGAAAGTGCACGGGGATCTTGATAAAACTTACCTCTCTAGTCTGGAAGGAACTGATGAGTGGAACACTAAAAAGATGAAAATAAAACTCTACTGCAAGGTGCCAAATGATATCTTTATTACCATTCTGTTTTGTTTGCTAAAAAAAAAAAAAAAAAAAAAAATTTACCCTTTTGATGATGCAGTACTCCCTAACCAATCCTTATCCTTTTTTTTTGGATGGACAGGGAAAGGCTTGGAAGTGTTTTCTGTTTTGCTACTGCCTATACACTCCCTCTGGATAAAGTGGTTTCTGGAGACTTTTCCGTGTGGGAGTTGGGCTGGTCCTAGACAAAACATACGACCACCACCACCTGCAGATAGCCTGTGATGCAAGCATGAACTGTGGTTTTTGTGAGTGTGGCATGCTGTTGGTTCATACTGAGTATCTATCTTTACCTTGGTGATTATGAAGTAATGTCCGTTGGCTGAAGTGTACTTGTGACTGACTTGGGGATCAAAATCAGCCTAGCTGTGGGAGTTAGTTGAACAGCAGCCTTTCAAGGCTTATGGGAAGGGTGGAAGCAAGTATGAGTCTTTAGTGTATTTTTTCTAAAGTTAGCTGTGGAAGTTGCATGGTAGAATTCTCTTGGTCCATGCTTTAAATGTTGGGGTTTTTTTTGTTTGTTTATTTGTTTTTTTGTTTTCTGAACTAGAGCCACTTTGGGCTTGGTCATTTAAGGTGCCTGCTGTAGTAAAGGCAGAACTCTGCTTTCTCTCCCCATGTTTTTTTTGCAGCAGCCAAAAGCCAAAAAGTGTCAAATCCTTGCTTACACCAAGCATCATTGTGTGTGAAACTTGCCTTAAACAGGTTGGTGGGGGTAGATGAGTAGCCTATTAGGTA